GAGGCTAGTCATAATGATACTAACTAGCTCAAAGTAATTGCGGTCTAATGTGCTAACGATAGGTAATTCTGCGTTTGTAAATATACGTAGGTGCTAACAGTTCGCGTTATTTCTGCGAGTTCATACGTGTACGTAAAAATTGTGGAAATAAGGCGAGATACGGAATCCAGATGTGTACAGCCTTGGCCAAAAGTATTAGGCACCTTTGTCATCGCGAGTTACTGCGAAAACTGTTCTGTTATTTCTGCGAGTTCATACGTGTACGTAAAAATTGTGGAAATAAGGCGAGATACGGAATCCAGACGTGTACAGCCTTGGCCAAAAGTATTAGGCACCTTTGTCATCGCGAGTTACTGCGAAAACTGTTCCTTTGAAACCTTCCTATTGTTCGTCATCATTTGTCGGCCAGTTCAAAGGAATTTTAAAACAGTTGACAAGAGGTTTACAGCGGGTCATAAAAGAACTGAACGATCCGTAGTATACATTCTGCGTTTCTTCCTAAAAGTCACAGTCTCCTGTTAGCATTCGCTAGTGACATACGCCAGTTTTGCTGTTAATACAGTGGATTCCGGTTAAGCGGGACCGCCGTTTATTTGGGACAGATACTGAAGAGCGGAATATAAATACATTACATAATATACAGTGACCGAAAAAGTATTCATACACCCTCTAAAATGGAATAACTTTTTTAAAATTGCGCCAAACGACTTGAGTTCTTTTGAGAAGTTAGGAAGATTAGTTTACTAGATGACGTGTACAAATTTTTTTGAAAACACTGCAATTAGTCGGAATCGCGAAGAAAATAGCGAAGGCCGTTTTTACAACTTTTTTTATCTGAACTCGTAATGAAAATTTAAAAGATACGTTTTGTAGATCTGTGTCAATTATGCACACGTTGAAAATTTTATAGAAATCGGTTAATGTTGCTATGAGCTACAAACGGTTAAAGATTGTGAAAATCGCACTGTTTCACTATAATAAATCTGCAGATTCTTACATCTTCCGATGCCTGTCGCTTGTTTCTACATCCACCGATTTCGATGAAATTTTCAGCGTGTGTATAATTCACATAGATCTACAAAATGTATTCTTTAAATTTTCATTACGAGCTCAGATAAAAAAGTAAAAATGACCTTCGCTATTTTCTTCGCGATTCCGACTAATTGGAGTTTTTTCAAAAAAATTTTCGCACATCATCTAGTAAACTAATCTTTCTAACTTCTCAGAAAAACTCAAGTCGTTTGGCCCAATTTCAAAAAAGTTATTCCATTTTATAGGGTGTACGAATACCTTTTTCGGTCACTGTATGTGTTTACTTACTTATTTTTCATTACTTATTAATGTTATTTTGTTACTTATTCTTAGCTTTGTTTGCATGCTTAAACATACATTTGTATTCAAGAGCGAATATTACATACGTTTTTCAGTAAATCATTTTTGGCTTCATTTTTTACGGTGTTCAGATTTTGCCTGTTGAAAGTCGCTTTTTTGGGACAACCGCTTAATTGGGACAAATTAGTCAAGTCCCAATGTGTCCCAATAAGTCCCATAGTTAGAAAGTTTTGCTTCTTTGCATTGACACTGGGTTAAAAATTTCTTCCTACGGCCCTGACCAAGGTTTCGATTCCTCGAGCACCCTTATCTCTGTCAGTTCGTCTGTTCCGACACTCAGAACTTGTGTTTGCCTCCTCGTGACTTTTACAATTACGCTATATTGTGACCCGAACAGGGTCTTACACCCTATTCAACTTATTCCTCCACAACTTTTTCTCTATCTCTGAACCAAACCCAAGATATAACCCGTCCCAGTTGCGTGGCTCACCCTGTACTCGAAAGGTCTTTAGAAAAAGTGATACAAATGATGCACATTGAAAACTATAGCCGATGACAGAAGTTGGCCAGAGTACCTAGCACATCGATAGGGTCAATATGAGAAGTGGAGATACTTCAGAGGTCAGGAAGAGCAAAGAGCCGACTCGCCCTCGACTTGGTTCTTTAAAATACTCGCCGTTTGTCTACCTCGGGCGTCGGGTGACCTAATTCAGCCCTACTGTATCTCCAACGGCGATACTCGAAATTCTCGGCGAACCTGACGTAAGAGCAGCAGGGTGTCCAAAAATTGGCATACCGCTGCACCCACCGCGATATAACCTTCTTCGTTTTCTTTCTCAATTCGAAGCATTTTGCACATTGTATCGAATCAAATTTTTCCAATTACACGTGTGTCAATCTTTGTTCTCTTCTTCGTTCGAATCGTTTTGCACGTTGTATCGAGTCATATGTAAATGACTCTTGTAGAAAAAGGGAAATTCGTCGGAAAATTAAATTGAAATTGAAATATTTATTTACAATTATATATTGTTATTATTATGTGAGAATATGGAAAAATGGAACAGATATTGGGAAACAGAGGAAGCAAGAAAATGTGATTTGTGCGGGGATATGTGGGGAACATTAGACCATATGGTAAGAGACTGCAGAAAGCTGAAGGGGGAAAGTAAAGGTTGAGGACATCTGTAGTCAGCAACAGTGAAGAAATAGGAAAATGGTTAAGGGAAATGGAAAGAAAAAGGAGCGATAAAGAGCGGAAATAAAAAGGGAGAGACTGTGTGAGGATGAGAGAGAAATGAAATATATTTTGATATTTTGTGCTCAAGGTAATATACTAGGGTGGATTGAAAAGTTCACGGCCTAAGTATGAAGGATTGCAGCTAAGTGCTTGTAATTTTTACCGAATAATATGTAATTAATTGTGTACTAATGTATACAGTTTCGTGTCTCTGTCGGCATTTTTCTCCCTTTTAGAGCTAGTGAAGTAGAGGTATTTGCAGTAGATGGAGTAGAGATGGACAAAATTAGAAAACGAACAGCGAATCAATACCTGAAGATAAAGGACTTCGCTTCAAAGATCATTCAAGGACCTTGCAGAAATTATTCGAAATTCTTGCAAAAATCGTTCAAGGTCCTCGCGGTGATGTCCTTTGTCACCAGGTACTGGACCATTCCTCGCTTCTATTCGTCTCTTCTCCGTCGCTGTAAACACCCCTACTGACACAGCCACGAAACTTTGTACGTCGGTACACAAATGGTCACAGATTACACCGTAAAAATTTCAAGCACCTAGCAGCAGTTCTTCCCACTTAGGCCACGAACTTTTCAACCCGCCCTCGTATGTACAGGGTAGTAGTGTAAACCAAGTCGTTTTCATAGCTGAGACTGAAGATAAATAGAAAAATATACAGTCGACGTGGTCCGCAAATTGATTCTGACTAAAATAAGAACAGTTTATCGTACAAATAAGGATAAATTGTACACAAGATACGGTATAACGTGTCACAAGTTTTATTCTTCAGTATTTACCTTTCTTGCCAATATTCTTCTCTGATTGCTTTTAAACTGTGACGGTAACGCTCGCTTTATTTTCATTGGAATCACTTTACTAGCCTTTTGGCCTTGCGATCGCGCATTTTCCGTGGTTCAGCCGAATGCCAATAGACAGTGCTAACATGGGAACATCCCGAAGTGATAACCAGCGATACTGACGAAACTTTGGTGTTTGGTAATATACTCGTAAAAATATTTGACACGTGTTCTATTTTTTTTATCGGCGAACCTCCACATCGAAGGGGTGAAAATCACCCTCGACAAGTGAGTTGACGAATTTTATATTTTTCAGCAACAAATTTGAAAAATAAAAGAGGTTTAAAGCAAATATGTTTATTACCCCTATGTCCGAGAGCGATTTTCACCCCATCGATGTGGACGATTGCCGATAAAAAAGAAGATACGTGTCGAATATTTTTTTTTAGTATTACCATGTATCGAAATTTCATCGATATCGGTGATTATCACTTAGAGATATTCCTTTGTGTAATATAAAAATTGTCTGCTGACTAAATGATACACATATGCAGATTAATGGCTAAACATGAAAGAGTTAATAAGTAAGCAGGGCCGTATTTACCATAAGGCGCAAGCTGGGGCCTCACTCTCGTAAAGAATTAACGAAGTACATGCGCTACCGGCCAAAAGTTTGGAATCATTTCCCAGTTCTCATCAATACTGAATCTGCTACTAATTTTTTATAGACTTGAAGTGTATCTCAACTCTACATTTATTAATTTATCTCATATCGATTGATTTGAGCGATAAAAAATTCCAAAAGCTGCTGAATTTTTTCTGGAAATTTTTGTGTAAATTGCAATGCACGGTGACTCCAAACTTTTGGCCGGTAGTGTACATCGTATAAGTATCTTCTAGAAATTTTGTATATCACCGTTAATTTTACAGTACTTCGTATATTATGTGTTCACATTTTCTTGAACATTATTCCGTTTGTAGTCTCCGAAAGAGACCCAAGAAACGTATTCATAATTTTTATAATTCTTTAACACTAATCGTACCATGCCCGGTCAAATACCCGGTTTTTAAATTTGACATGTAATTTTTTTTATTATTATCTAAAGGCTGTTTTCTGCGTTGTTTCTTATATTAAATTGACAATCGCCTGTATTCCTTTCGGAAAAATATGCTCTTTATTTCATTTAACCTGCTACGCTAAGAATATGTATACATAAAGTGCCGGTACGATTAGTGTCAAAGTCAAAGTATCCTGTAAAGTTTTTTCCATTAACCCCTTAACGTATGACAACGTGTCAGACTCGTGGCAGAGGTTCTGGCGAAGATGTGAGAAAAACAGTTATATTAGCAAGAAAAGTTAATAGTAATCCTAATTTTCGTTTAAATTTGTAGGACTGAGGATTGCTAAATGTAATTAATCTGTGACAGATTAGTTTTCATTACCTGATACAGTACTGAAACAGAAAATGGCTGACGCTTAGATGCGTAGTCAGAAAAGAAATCATAGGTTAAGGGGTTAATTGATTTTACGACCTCAATACATCAGTTCCACCGACTATACAGTCCTGTCGTTTGGGATGCTCCTCGATTCCTTTAGGACAGCGCTGTCCAAAGTTGGCTCTCGAGAGATAAATGCCCAGGAATTTCTGCTGGCCATCGATGTAACATCCAGCGGAACGCCAGAAGAAAAATTGAAATGGGCTTTTCGCATGTATGACGTTGATGGAAATGGCGTCATTGATATTCAGGAAATGACAAAGATTGTGCAGGTATTATGCACTTCTTAATTATGCTTTTTACGCAAATCAATTTTACCGATATTAATCTTTCTCGTGAAGAATTTATTACCGAGAACTAGTTACTGAAACTGAAAAACTTGAGTTTCAATTGAAGCTGTTGAAATAATTGAAAAGTAGCAAACAATTTGTTTTCGCGGGATATGTAATTTATACACTCCTTTATTATTATTTGTTAGTTACAGTTTTCTGTAATTCTCCTTATAGTTTCATTCTAACAAAATTTACTGAATTTTGCTGAAAATATATTCGAAGAGCTGTAAACCTTTGAAGAATGCAGTTATAAATAAAAATTCTTTGTTTCTCAAATTATGTTTCATTAATTCTATACGTTGCAAATAATTATTGTGCAAGGAAGATGAACTTGGAAGTTCTATCTGGTTTCTGCATTCAAAAAATTTTCCTTAAACTGTATTATCTGTATCTATCTAATACAGCAAAAAAATCTTCAATTATTATATAATTCTTTTTTTAAATTATTTAGTTCTGTTTTATTTGCCAGACTAAAACGACAGAAAGGTATAAAGGCAAAAAATAATAAAACGTTTCTATAGCTATTGCGTCCCAACAATATCTTGTTGTACATTATTGTACAACCATTTTTTAATTATATATATATACACTCAGTGAAAAAAGTCTCCGTAGACCTCGTTAGAATTTATTTTGCGTTGTCTAATTTTAACAGCGAAAATAGTAAATAAATAATATTTACGTTATTTCATTTACAAACGTAACGTTTACTACTAGTGCAAAGAAAAATAATTCACATTCATTGGTTAGTAATTAAACAAATAAATATAAATATAAAGAAATATTTTAAGTGACGTCTTTTCTACTTACTTGTAAACAACAAACTAACTTGTATTTGCTTTTGGAACCTTATTTGCAGAAATTCTTCTGAATTTTTAGATACTGTACAGAAATTTCTTCATCTCATTTATGTTACATTATTCCTTTTGCTTAGTTCAATTGTTAACAAATATATATAAATCATTTTTCTTGGTACTGATAGTAAATGTTACGCTTCTAAATAAAGTAACGTGAATATTGTTTATTTACTACCTTCTTTATTGAAATTATGCAACCCTAAATAAATTCTAACGAGGTGTATTGAGACTTTTCTGAGTGTACACAGTCTTTATGCAATACCGTGAAAATAATGTGAAATTTGACAATTTTTCAATTATTCAACTATACACGAGATAAGAATATGAAATTCAAAATAAGAGAGGTTCCTACTAGCTCCGCCCACCTCTAGATTGAATTTTTTATTAGGCCTTGACTAGTCGACAAATCGCAAATTAATAAAATCGTGCCGTACAGTGATTACTTTCAATTTCAGCCGAATGA